AAAGAGTATGATAAAAAGCACAGTTTTGAAAAAACTTGAGTTTTGTTTTAGCAAAATTTGGTACAAGTGATCGTCGGGAAGAGTTAGTGAATTGTATCCCCAGGCCAAATGTTAAATTTAGTATATTAAACTAAAAATTAAAATTTAATGAAATTAAAATTGATTTTAATTTATGCTATATATATATATATATACTAAGGTTGATTTTTTTCAACTATAAATTTGTAAATTGAATTTTAATTTTTAATCATAAATTTATAAGTTGAATTAAGATGATTTTTTAATTTCATGTGCTGAATTAAGGCTGAATATAATATTCAGTCTAGTCAAATCTTGATTGTTTTACTAGTTGTACAATTCAAAAAAAGTCATAAATGTAGAAAAATAATATTAAACATCTAAATAAAAAATGTAAAAAAAATCAAATAATGTAAAAAAAAACTAGCTATTTTTTGTATTATTTCTTATATTTATTTTCTGAACCATCATTTAATCATTATTTGAAAGCTACAAATTAGTCAAATATAGCCAATATATTTAAACATATATTCTTTTTCAATTAGTGCTTCTTTGACTACTTTATATTTGATCTTTTTGTCTACTATTGTGCCAATTATGTAAATCATTAGATGTCTGAAGTAGTTAGAGTAAAATTTTAGATATAAGTCATATAATACTATCAAATGAAAAGTTAATAGTATGTTGAATTGTTATTTACATGTTGAATTTTTTTTTTTGTATTTTGATTAGTGCACTTATGAGTTATGTGAAAGTATTGAATAAAAGGTTGAATACATGGCAAATTATGTTATTAGTAAAAATTTTTTTACTTTTATTAGTATTATAAAGTATGTGATAATCATGCAAATCATACAATATTTGACTCATAACTTTATAGAAAAATATATATGAAAATAATAAAGAAAATTACAGATAATATATGGAATATAATTCATATATACGGAATAATAAGATTATATAATAAATTAATACTAAATAAATATATTAAATAGATACGAAATTATTGTTAATACAGAATTAATATTTAATTAATATATTGAATAGATACGAAATTGCCATTGCTACAGAACTAATGCTTAATTATTATATTGAATAGATACAGAATTATTGTTAATACAGAATTAATACTTAATTATTATATTGAATATTTACAGAATTATTGTTGATACAGAATTAATATTTAATTAAAATAGTGAATAAATATGGAATTATTATTGATACAAAATTAATACTTAAATTTATATATTAAATAGATATAGAATTATTGTTGATATGGAATTAATACTTAATTAATATATTGAATAATTACAGAATTAATTTATTGAATAGATACGAAAACACTGTTAATACAGAATTATTTAATTAATATATTAAATATATATGGAAATACTAGTAATACAGAATTAATACTTAATTAATATATTGAATAGATATTTAATTAATATATTAAATAGATACGAAAACATATATTAAGTAGTTATTAATATGTAATAAAATATAAATTATAATACTAAACACTTATATTAGATAAAAATATAATTTATTTTATTCTAAAATTATATTATTTTTTTATCTTATATATAATATTCATTATCAATTTTAAAAAACTCAACACATCTTTTGATAGCTTTCACATCAATAAAATGTTTATGAGCAAAATAATGAAATTTTTTTAATCCAAATCAATAGTTATTTTCATCAGGTATATTAGTCATTCAATAAAGACAAGTATTATACTTGTATCATTATATTTATAAACAAAATACTATAAAACTCTACCAAAAAACTGTTTAACTACAAGTCTTTTGGCTTTTTTATTTTGTACAGATACTTTTAATTCATACTATAAAATATTAAAATAAAATTAATTAATTAATTAATTTAAAATATATATATTATTAAATTATAATATAAATACCATTATACAAGAATTATCGCATAATATATCTTCATTTCGTAAAGATGTTTTTGATCTAATTATATAACTATCTATAGTATATAAATGTGCATATTTTTTACTATTACATTTTAACTATATAAAAATATAATATTATAATTTAAATATAAAAATGTAATGCAAATATATCAATTTTTTTTATAACTCTTTCTGATGATCACTTGGACCAAATTTTTTGATAAAAAAAAAAGCTTATTTTCAATACTGGAAAGTAGTAACCTGTAGTAAGGTAACTTCAACAGAGTAGTTTTTATAAAGGTTAACCTTTTTCTATTCTTGGGACTCCTTTATATATTCAGCATGCAAGCCAAAAGTGTCTGTATACAATATAACTGGCAGAAGATAGTGCCCTCGTATATGAAAATTTTGGTGGATAGGTAGAGGTGATAGAAGTCCAAGCCTTCTGTTGACAAAGCTATCAGTTGTGAAACAACTAGGGAGCAATAAAGAATAGAGCTTCTTTTAAGCTACACTTCTTTTTTCTAATCAAGTGGTACCTACTGCCTTTTTTTCGCTTCCTTGCCTTTCTTTCAAAATTTTCAACAAAAAGTGGGGATTTGGCTTACCTCCTCCAAAAGATTTACTTCTCAAATTTGGATGAACTAGTAGATTGCAACTACGTGTTTGTTTACAGACGGATATGGTGCTACTTTATGGGATTCAGTCCAGAAACTCTAATTATGGCAGAAGGTAGCCTTGATATAGATTCTTGGACAATAGAGCCATCCGAATTCAGTGGAAAAGTTAGAAAGTAAATTATAATATTAAGGTAGAGCTTTACTTTTACAAGAGAGATATACAAATATTGTATTTGTTATATAATTTTTACCAACCTTGCATGGGTTATAATAGTGTCTTAGGGTCTTAGTTTTCTTTTCATGTTTTTTCTTTTTCAGAATCTGTATTTATTTTTTCTTTTTGTTTGTTTGTTTTTCTCTTTTGGTTGTTTTCATATTTGTTTTTTTTTGTTTTAAACTTTTCCCCCTTCTGTCTCATGCCCCTTGAGAAGAAGGAAAAATTAGAAGAGAAAAGAAGTCCTGAGGTGGGAGCTGAGCCCCAGCTAGATTATATCTTTAAATATGCTGTGTCGTATGTAGGGTATAGTAGCCAACATCAGTGCAATAACCAAGGTTGGGCATCTTTAAGAGACAGCTAGCTTTTAGTCTAATCCCTTGTTAAATAGCTTGGTCTTATATTAAACATTATATATTTAATAAAATTTTAGTACGCGGTTATCAAAGGAAAAAAAAAATAAAAAAAAAGTAATATTTACATTATAATTATAAATAACTTACTTGTGTTGCTTGAATATTTGAACTATAACTTTCCTGATACTATTGAAGTAAATATTTAAATTCAAGACTTCTTGGATCAATTGTATAATATTTTGTAGGCCACCAGAGTTGATAAAATACTTTTATCACCTACAATATATATAATTTGTTTAGAGCAATTGGTGTAGATAAAATCAGTTAAATTAGAAATCACAAGTTTGACACAATTTAAAGTTTACTAAATAACAAATTGAAGCACTTATTCTAAATGTATGTTCTATAGAGTATTAAAAATAAAAAGCTATATGTTGTAAAAAGCTTAGACCATAATTTTATTATTAGTATTAAATATATATACTCAATTTAGTTAAAGCCCCAAAAATCGTAAAAAAAGATTTTATTTTATTTGTAAAGTATATACGTACGCACTGAAAAACATTATTAAAAACTAACTCGTTTTTCTTTTTTTAGCTCAAACCATTTGAACATAATAATGTGCTATAAATTTTTGGCCTTCTGGTTTGTGCATTTAAATCATTGCAAACATAAATAGATGTTTTATGCGGGTGTAGTATATCAATTATTAAACATCACATAATTTAAATAACACCATTTGGAATGCGTTGTTTCGAAATCAGAAGAACAGACTCAGATATAATTAGTATTACAATGTTTATTTTTAATGAATTAACGTAAATGGTAAAATTTTGGACATAGCAGTTAAGTCCTGCATAAATCCGAAAGACAAAATTATAGAAACGGGCATCTGTACTGGTATTGAGACATTAATAAAAATTTCGAAGATGAAATTTTACATATAATATGAGATATTTCTTCTCTATGACCTGTACTTCTAATATCTACTCTAAATATCAAAACTTCCTGTATCCAGCCCACATAAAACATCTATTTCAAATTAATTGTTATTTCAGCTCATATATAATATTCTGATATTAGATGGCTATAGTTATTATTTTGTCCGTGGCTGTCATACCGCGGAATTACGACCTTATCTTGGTCAACTGCGCTCTAATGGTACTCATCTAAGCTGGAGCGATAAAATAGCGTTGACTCAGCAAGTAGTTGAAGGCCTGAAGTATCTTCATGATCAAAATATCATACACTCAGAGCTGGTAAAGAATTTAAATACCTTATTATGCTCATAATTTTTTTCGGCCAAAATTAATTTATTTAAATCTTTAGCACCCGAAAAATATAGTTGTACATGAGGGGATTCCTAAATTAACTAACGTCTGGTTATCTCAAAGCAGAAACGACAATTTTTCTTATTCGCCTCCTGAAATTTTGTTGTCTAATAATATTGAAAATAAAACAACAAAGCTAAATATTTATTCCTTAGGCATTCTAATGTGGGAAATTTCGAGTGATGGTTTGGAGCCTTTCAATCAAAATAATTCAGTTAAATTAGCAATTGATATTATTAAAGGTTTACGTGAGTCGCCCGTAAATGGAACACCACGTAAATTTATAGAAATTTACCGTAAATGTTGGGATAATGATCCTGGTAAATTCAAATTAATTTATCATTTATTACTTTATTTATTGATAACTATAATAAATTAAATAAAATAATATTTAATTTTTTGACTAGCTATTCGACCACTTGCAAAGAAGTTCTCGATAAGTTGAGGAATGTATCACTTTCAGACGTATATTATGAAGAAAAAGTTCAAAATCCTGCTGCTTCTCGGAGGCCTACACCTAATCCTAAAGCCGTCGACCTAGAATCACTGGAGCTGGATTATGAAAAGTTACTCGGGCCAAAGAGGTTAGAAGCAGAATTTGTTAATCATTTTGCCTTAAACCGAGCAAGAAATATTCAAGGATTTGATTATACTCGCGCAAAAGGAATTGTTTTGCGTAATAACGGCAAACCCATACTTCGAAAATTGAATTCGGATTCACCTATTGTCTACTTTCCAAAGTCTGAGGATACAATTTGGGATAATTTAAGAACCACAAGTTTATTTAAAAGTATTAACGAGGAGAAAATGGGTAATAAAGATTTACAAATCCACATTCCAGTTTTAACAGTTGAATTTACAGCTGACATTAAAGTTTCGGGCGAAACCAAATATTTTCGCCCAATCCGAATCCGAAATGGGGGCGATATTAGTTTCGCCCGGAATTCAAATTTCCGAA